CACACACACACACACACACACACACTCACAACTATAAAAGTTTTTGCAGTGAACTACAATCATTTTAACATCAGTAAAAACAAGCTAAAAAGTACAAATTATTTCATTTCACAAAGAATTGTTTAAAGAATTTATTTTTATCACAAAGAATTATTCTTCAGTTTCACAATGATGCAGGCTGTATCTGAAGCCGACCCACAGCTGGCACACGTTTTTTCCTCCTTTTCTCTGGAAATGTTGAAAAACACAAATACTGGATGTAGAAAATATCTGAATAAACTGGCCTGTCTGACAATGTGACTATTTTGTTTATGATGCTCAATCATTACATTAGTGCCAGTCATTAGCGAGTCTACATCATAATTTCTGAATTTATATGCAGTCTAACTAGTCAACAATGCAATAAAGTCCATATTTACATGTTTAATATTAGTAAATAATATATTTAACAGATAAAATCGATTTTAAATAAGGTTAAACATGAACATTGAAGCTGTTTACTGTTAGCATACAGGTTTTACAATGAAAATAATTAATTTTGGTTAAATATGCGTAATATTTACCTGTGAAAMATAACCCTTTCTTGTAAACATGTAACAATTTCTGCAGTTTATAGCAAAGTATTTGTACCATTTGTACATTTATAAAGCATTTGTTTGCACCGCACTAYGTTCTGCTCATTGATTTCAATGGTTAGCATTAGCATTAGCTCAATGCATAAAAATCCCCMTTGCGAAGCACGCCCAGGTCACRTGAYRCCCAATCCAGTAATATACAGTATATCAATGCTTATAACAGTCAACACACTCAGCATTTCCCTGTTTTACAAATAAGTCTTGAGACGAATGGGTCTAAAAACTGAATTATGCAAGGTCAAAGTTCCTGAAATGCACACCCGAACTAATTCAAAAACCTCAAAAACATGTTGAAAAATTGTAATAAATTTTAGTACGTAACAAGTTTATGCAGAATAGATGAACACAAAGAAAGCCAGCGTAAAAATGTGATCYGGATCAACACAAATAAAAGCTCAAATAAAATTCATTATTATTATCAGGAATGTGCACATGGTGGTCGGAGGGTAAAGCAGAAGCAAAGATTACAGTTAAAAACACATGAAGCAAAACAAAAAAGATTAAACAAGATGAAAGGACAAAAATTCAGTGCA